TTTTTGAATGAACCATACTCATTTAAATTTCGAGTAAGCCCTCAGAAAATGGACTTAGTTGGTTGCCTTCTTTCGGGAAATTTATCAAGATACAGTTCTCCAGTATTTTTAGCATTTTTGTAGCACTAAATGTAGCACGTCAGTATGTCGCACTTTCCGTCCTTGCGAAAATGATCGTCTGGCATCTTTGAAGATAATAAAGCAATATTAGCGATAGATAATAACAATACTTGGTGTCAGGTATTTTCGTCAAGTCAACGTCTACTTAAAAAACAAAAAATCAGAAAGAAAACGAATTTTACCTTATAACCAAGAAAAGAAATTTGACATGTGATACATGGTTGAATTCGTATAAAAAATGCTTTTAGATAAATGGTGTACTTTCTTCGGACCATATAAAAAATAAGGTTGATGATGGTTTCTCAAAAGCGAAACATAGAGCACAAAATTTAAAAACACCACGTAGTACCCAGAAAGTGCCAATGGAAAAGTTTAATTAGTTTTTTAATACTTATTTAAATAAAGTCAGAAAAAAATATATGTGATTCAGCCAAATTTTAGTTTTTCCAAATACCTCAGTAAGCCATGAACTTTTTCCTAATCTTTTAACCTAAGCTGTATCCCCCTTGGCTATTGAGATCCCCATGCATAAGCATGACCATATGACAAACACCACTTTGAATTCTTGAAACAAATTGAATATTCCAAGAAAAGTACATTGTGTGTTTTGTTCTCAAAATTGTTCTTTCTGGCACTTGCACTTGAGAAGACCGAAGATATACGTTTCTACTACAAATTACTAAGCACAACTCCAGTTTCTTTCATTACTTTTTCTCCTACCTCTCTGCCGTCTCTTTAATTCCCTGCTAAGAAATATAGAATGTTTGAAATATTCTAAATTTAATGTAAAAATGTATTTATTTTTCGTCTCAATCATCTTATTGTCTGCTGTCGGTAAATATAACTTATACTTGTTTTTCTGTGTGTCACTCTTATCAAGTCGAGATGTACTAGAATTCCTTTTCTCATGCTCACACAATGAGCAACTTTATTTCGTTTTTAGATTTAACTAATTTTAATAATATTCCAAATATAAATGGTCGAATACTGGATTTAATTTTAGGAAATATCGAAATAGAAGTCCTCAGAGATAATACACCTTCTGTTAAAGAGGACGTTCATCATCATGCACTGATCATGGAATTCATTACATCCGGATCTCCAACGAAATTCCCATTTGCTAATTCTCCGCGGTTTAACTTTCGCAAAGCTAACTTTCCTGAAATGTACACAGCCTTGCAAGATGTTAATTGGACGGAGGTGATCAGTGCAGTTAATGTTGATGTCGCTTGTACCGCCTTGTATTCAGTTATCAATAACATCTTTGAGGTCCATGTCGCTAAATGTAAAAATAAAATGTTTTCTTATCCCCCATGGTTCACACGTGAAATTATACTTAATATCAAGAAGAAGGACATAGCAAGAAGGAACTGGAAACGTGACGGTACTAAGTTTTCTTATGATCAGTTCAGTAATTTTAGGAAGCTCATTAAGAACCAGATCAGTGTTGCCTACTCCGCTTACGTCCAATCGGTTGATGATGCCATTGTCAATGATCCTAGCAAATTCTGGTCATTTGCCCAGATAAAAAAACAGCAATCTAGAATCCCCCCAAGGATGACGCTTAACGGCAATGTCTGCGATACGCCTCAGGATATAGTGGACAGTTTTGCTACCTTCTTTTCAACAGTTTTTATCCCGTCTGGTCTACTAGGGTCATCTCCTCCAACAAATTATTTTACCGATATCATTTCTTTAAAAAATATAAGTGAAGAAAAACGTAATTAGGGCTTCGAAAAGATTAAAGAACAAAATGACGTCTGGATGTGATGGTATTCCAAGTTTTTCGTTAAAGATTACATTCATATACTAGCGAAACCGCTGGCTTTCATATTCAACCTAATTCTAAAATCAGAGACATATCCAAATATCTGGAAGACCTCTAAAACATGTCCTATTCACAAAAGTGGAGATATCTCTGGTATTTACAACTATCGCCAAATAGCAATCCTGTGCAATTTCAGCAAGTTGTTTGAGATCATCGCTTATGAAATGGTTTACTGCTCGGTCAGGGGTGCAGTCTCTATTAATCAGCATGGGTTTATGAGAGGCAGATCTACGGTCACCAACTTGGCTCTAATTACTCAGTACATTTCTGAAGTATTGGACGGTCAGGGACAAGTTGATGTCATCTACACAGATATTCAGAAGGCGTTCGATCAAGTTGATCATTATGCACTTCTGAATAAGCTTAAAACAGTGGGTATGTCTGATGCAATGCTGTCGCTCATGAATTCATATTTGATGGATAGAAGGTTATTTGTCGAATATGGTGGTCATAGATCGAGTTACTATCGGGCCACGTCCGGGGTACCTCAAGGGTCAAATCTAGGTCCATTATTGTTTTTGATATTTATTAATGACTTGTCTTTTGAACTGAAGTGTTTCCATTTGTTTTTCGCTGATGACCTTAAAATCTGCAGGTCAGTCAAGACAGTTGAGGATTGCGTCATGTTGCAAGATGACTTAGCTCTAATTTCGTCATGGTGTTCACGAAACTGTCTCAGTCTGAATGTTTCGAAATGTAAAGTTATGACTTATACAAGAAAGGTTAACTATTTAATTTATGATAATTATAACATCAATGGTCAGGTTATAGACAGATGCACCTCTTATAGAGACCTTGGAGTCACTTTTGATACCAAGCTAACGTTTACTGAGCATATACTCAATATCTCGTCGGCTGCCACTCGACTACTTGGTTTCTGTATCAGAAACTGGAAGGGTTTCTCCAGTGTTGATACATTAATGACTTTATTTTTTACTTTTGTCAGGCGCAAGTTTGGAGTATGCGACTCTGATCTGGTCTAATATATACCAAAATTCTGTCGTGATGCTTGAGGCCATTCAACGTAAAGCTTTAAAGTATTTTCACCTTAAATGCACAGGTTCTTATCCAGAAAGAGGTTGTGACCATAGTGCCCTATTAGAGTTTTTTAATTTAGATTCACTGTCAACAAGACGAAACATATTTGCTTTGTCGTTTTTGTATGGCCTCATTCACAATAAAATTGACTGTCAAAATTTACTTGAAAAAATATGTTTCCACGTTACAAGGCTAGGGAGTCGACAACAAACGGCATTCTATTGTCAAGCTGGCCGTACAAATGTTATGACAAAATCGCCAATTATTCTCATGTGCTGCGTCATGAACAGTGATACTGAATCGTGTGATATTTACAGTGACAGTTGTGCATCGATTATTAACTGCTATAGATCATCCAATCTTATTTAGAATGTGTGACACTATAGATTTCAGTCCAAGTACCATGTCTTTTTAATTGTTATTTTTTTCAGCATTTCCTGTAATTGGGTTTCACCTGTTGGAAATAAATAAATAAATTAGGATAGGTTTGTTTAATGTAAACTGTATTAACATTTAAGTTGGGGGCGCCTTTTACTAGATGGTACAAGAGATATGATACAACTAGCCATAGTGCATGGACCAGAAGGTTTATACCACAGTACGGATTGTCAAGGGGGCATAAGACATGATCCTACATCAACTTGGATTCGAGCAGTTCACAACCTCAGTAATTCCTTTGCACATATTGCAAAATATTTTTCTTTATCGGCCCTTACCCGTTAAAACAGGATCCTCTGACTCGTTTTGTCCTGAGCTGTCCGCATACTAATCCATATACGATACCGTAACATTAAATTTAAAGTAGTTTAAGTTCAAAGCCAAAATAAGGAGAGTAAGCAGATGTTTCTTCTTACTTTATTTTTGAGCATAATTTTCACCAATTTTCAGAAGTTTCACTAATTCGAAATTTCGCACACGTATTAAGGACCGATGACAATGCAATGATCTGATAACAGTTTTCCATTATCCTTATCAGGACCGCCAGGATTGATAAATTATTTTATAGATCCTCTGTCGGGGAGTAAGAGAGATAGAGCTAGAGCGTGATCTGCGTATGCGTGCAGTTTCGGACTTACTCTTTGTTGGTGCACAACGGCGGCAGATACTTTTTCAAGGTAGTTAATTCTCACCTGGTTAATTGCGAATGTTGCCATTAATCCTGAGCTGGCCTTCGACCGTCCACAAGGTTGTTTGCTGCTGGACAAGCTTATGTAGCACTTGGTCGTGTAAAATCTTTAGACGGTATTCGGATTGAAGAACTTGCTTGCTCTAGGTTAACAGGAAAAACTCCATGCATCAGTGAAATGAAATGATTAGATTACTAATGATTCGTAAGGCATTTCAATATCACATATCCACAAAAAACTAATTAATAAATCGAACAAAAAATGAAAAATAGATAATAGTTTAAAAGAACTACAAAAAACTCGCTTTTATAGCTAGCCGAACTTAGAAAATGATTTTTAATTACAAAGAGTTTATACTACAGTAGTAGATGGTCGAACAATCAATCATACTTGATGACCTCAAAATAGAATTATAATAAATTTGAGTTATTAACAGAATAACTCAATTCAGAGTAGAGAAGGTGAGGTGCATTTTACTACATTACTATAATAGAATGATTGTAATATTTAGTATATCAAGCACCGCACACTTTTTACTCTGAATCGAATTATTCTGTTAATAACCTAAATCTTATTATAATTTTATTTTGAGGTCATTAATTATGATTGATTGTCTGACCATCTACTACTTTAATATAAACTCTTTTCTAATTTTCAGTTCAGTTAGCTATAAAAGCGTGTTCTTTGATGATTTTTAAAATATTATCTATTACCATTATTCTTAGGTCAGTAAATATGACATAATGCCTTCAGTTTTGGTGTGCAGTTTATTATTTCTATATGAATAACCATTTAATGCGCTTCCTGTAAAATACTACAAAAAAAACGTTAATGTCCTTAAAAAGTATATTAGTAGAAACTGCATGGGATAATGGTACTAGTGCAAAGTATGATGTTAATCAATGCTAGTGAAATTTCATATTAGGATTACATGGAACAAATTAATAGCTTCCTGATAGGCTTTTTGTTTCCAGCTACAAACACATGGAAATGGTTTTCATAAAAATATTACTTTTGTCGGCCATATTAAAGTTTGGAAAGGTAAGTACCAAAATTGTCTTTTTTGCTGACGACGATGATTCGGTCACCGCGGCGACCTTTTTCAAGTATACCTGAAAAAAGGCGACCAAGGTGATCGAAACGTCGTCATCAGTAAATAGTATGTGGTTTCATTTAGCGGCCAGAAAAAAATGGTGGATTATCAGCATGAAAGCCATACGATAAATTTCAGGTGTTTATTTTTCTTAGTTTTTACTGGCAATACACATAAAATTTGCTTCCATTAAACAAATCTTCTTTTCGAAAACTAAGCTGTCTGCAGAAATTCATCTTACTCTTCCTGGCAAAACTGTTATTGATATTAGGTCTAGTTATCGTTATACAATTTTATCAGGAGTAAACGTTTGGTTTAGTCAATGGTAAAACTGCGTAGCGTTGTTGCGACGAAGGATAGATATATCATCATATACGAGTATACCACAAAAATTCATATCCTGTATTTCCTTCCAATTTTTTCAACAATTATAAATTCGACATCTCCTACATTACCATATGTTGGATATTGCTGCACTATAGATGGAGCTGTTGTGGGCTAAAAAGTCTGTGTTTATACGTGGTGTGACAATTAAATTCCGGGAATTAAACAGTAATAACTTGAGGTCTAGTAAGACTGCGTGTGAACTTCTGCCGGAAGATGCGTTCTCTCTTTGAGTTACAGTCCACAACTGAAGTCGATTATTTGTGTGGTTTGAATTTGTGGGTGGTTTTTGAAAAATGTTTGAGTGGCATCGTGAAAATAAGTTTTAGTGAAATCTGGCGAAAAACCCTCGGAAATCTTGCGGAAATTATTGTAGGTGGCTTATCAGTGGAAAATGATCCACGTGACAATCTCCCGTACCGACCCAAATGTCGACCGTTTGCGCGCTCTGATAACATCTGGCCAGCGCAGCGCCTAAGTATTCGTGCACTGCCTGACGAGCTAAATATGAACAAAAAACAGTCCGCCAAATGTTACACGAGAACTTAAACATGTGAATGGTTTGCGCAAAGATGGTTCCAAAAGTTCTCACCCATGAACAGAAACAATTGCGACGATGCCCCGCCCACCCTACATCCCCGATATTGCCCCCTGCGATTTCTTATTCAATAAGTCACACCTCAAAGGAAGACATCATGGTGGCATAAAGGAGGTGAGAGCAGCTGTAACGAAGGTGCTCAATGGGCTATTGTGAAGGTTGTTAATAAAATTTTACGTGCAATTTGATTTGCTTGTTTTTTGTTGAATGTAATTGGCACAACACGTAGGGGAGTTTGGGGCAAAGTGGCTACCTTAACTTCAAAATACCAAAATACTTTATAGAAAATTACAAAGAGACGCACAACCGTGCCAATCGCTTTATTCGTGAAAGAACTTTATTATTTTAAATGGTCTGTTGTTTCTAAATAAGTGCTATGAAAAAAAAATCAAAAAATAATGCTATGAATTATTCACTTTGCCCCAAGTATGGGGTAAAGTGGATATGTGTATAGGGGTAAGGTGGACACTATCTAAAAGGTAAATAAGACTTCGATGAACAAAATTTTTATCAACACTTTCAGGGTGAAAAAATAAAACATAGAATAAGAATAAAGTACCAATCATCCAAAAAATTACACAAACATAGTTTCTTGAAAGGAAAAAAAGTTCGTAGCAGAAAAATGAACAAAATTATAATCTAGTGAATTTCGTTATACGAAAAAGGTTTTGGTAACGTCCATAATATTGAAGAACTACTAAAACTAAACAGAACTATTCAGTCGAGACGTTATATCTTCTGCTTTAAAAGACTCGTATTTTGCCATACCTTAGAGACTGAACTCTAATTTTCCCCAAAATTTCTTCTGTTAAAACTTCACTAAAATCCTTAACTTCAGAAAAACATAAATGTCTTTCGACTGCCGATATTGTCGCAAAAATGACACATTGATCTTAGTTTCTGGACTCTTTTCAATACTTATTATACTAAGTGACATATAAATCAGAACACCCAGTTTAAATGGTTTTATTTTAATAAAATTTTGTATAAGTACTTAATGAAGCATAATAAGTAAATGATAAAAATTTTAAAATGATTGCACTGCTTTAAAGCCCTTTGACCTTTAATAATGTGTGGATGCACCCTGATGTGCTACGCATTCTCCAACGCGCCTAGGCATGCTTCTGATCCGGTGGTCAATGTCCTCCTGTGGTATCTCATTCCAGGCAACCACCAACTCCTCTCGAAGTGCTTCTAGAGTCTGAGGAGGACGTTGCAAATGGAGCAATCTTCTACCCATCATATCCCACACGTGCTCAATTGGGGATAAGTCGGGAGATTTTGGTGGCCATGGTAACAATGTGACATCATTATGTTGAACGAAGTCTATTGTGACTCTTGCAACATGTGGTCGGGCATTATCTTGTTGGAAAGTTGGATCTGCCAGGGTGTCAAGATAGGGTAAAAGATGGGGTTCTAGAACTTCGTGGATATAACGCTGCGCGTTCATGTTACCTTTGATGAAGATTAAAGGTGACCTGGAACCATAAGCTATAGCACCCCAAACCATAACTCCAACAGTGTGATGAACATGTCTTTCAACAAAAAACTGTGGATTCCTCCTTTCACCACGTCGCCTTTTAACCCTGGCACGACCATCGTGCATGCCTAAACAAAATCGAGACTCGTCACCAAAGACGATTCCTGATCCCAGAGTGACCGTTGTCTGCACCACTCAAGGCGATTACGTCGGTGTTCTCGAGTTAAAGGGAGGACCCAGCGTGGCCGGTATGAAAACAAGCCAAAACTTCTCATTCGACGGTAAACACTTCGCATGCCAATAGGTCTTCCGTGTTCTGCAAACCATTCATTTGCAATGGACCTGGTAGTGGAGAAACGGCCCCTTAAGGCCAATAATCTTAGGCGGCGATCTTCACGGTCTGTTGTTCTACGGCGGCGTCCAGTGCCCCTTGCCCTTTGCGTACGGCCGTCTCGAAGCCATGCCGGACAACACCTAACCACAGTGTTTATACTTCTTTGCCCTCTAACTGCAATTGCCCGAAAAGAAAGTCCAGCTTCCCGAACTCCCACTATACGGCCCCTATCAAACTAACTAAGTTGACGAAATCGTACAGGTCTCCGTACTCTAGGCATCGTAACCGATCGTAAAGGATGTCAAGAACCAAAATCCGCCAACGTTGATTCTTTACTGCGGCTGAAATATTCATTTTTAGAGCGTTAGTGAATTAAAAAAAGCAGTATAAAAACCGGAATGTCCAACTGATGAGGCTGAACATTTTTTTCACTTGTTATTTACAGTAAGAATACATTCACCAACTTTTATTAAAATAAAACCATTTAAACTGGGTGTTCGGATTTATATGTCACTTAGTATATTTGAGCAACAAAACGTTTTTTTGTAATTTTGTCAGATGTTAATTCTATCAAAATAAAATCATCTGCATTGAGGTTTTCAACTTCAATAGATTCGATGTTAAATTCATTGGGTTTAGGATAAAATTCTATATCGCTATTGTCCGAATCGCAAGAAGACTCCTCTAGCTCCACTTCAACTGAGCTATCCGAAGATGTTACTTCTTCTATGTTTCTTTCTTTTGCAGTCAATGTTTTAACCCTGCTATCAAATACTTTTGACCATTTTTTTCTTTGCTTTAGATATTTGGGTTTTTTTTGCTGCTTTTTTTAGTTCTTCATAATTAGGGCTTGAAGTGAGCACCATAGTTTTTCCTTTTCTCATTTTTCGTTTTCGAGCTTTTGCTTCGCCTGCGTTTGGTAATGCCAATATATCTTTAGGTGAATAGTAAATATTACTTTCACTAAGAATAGGGGCTGTAGGCTCTGCGTGTCTAACAGGAGATGGTGTTCTAGCGCTAGAGGGACCTGGTTGTTGAGAGTTATTGATTTGTTGGTTATTCGGTTGCTGTAGGGGTTGCGGAGTTATTGGGCGGTCTTCATTGAGAGCTCTATCTGTGGCATCTGCCAGTTTAAATGCATCTTCTGGAAATACATCAGGGTTAAAGCGATAAATCCCCGTCGCTTTGAAACCATTGATAGCATTTTGTGTTGTTGCGGCGCGCTTAAAAGCATTTCCAAAAAGCTCTCCGACTTGATACAAAGTTATTACCTTTCCAGGGTTATTAATAAGCCATTATTTCGTTTCTTGTTGGTAGTATGAATTTAGTGGAAACATGAAGGCTACATCCAAGGGTTGTAGACGGTGAGATGAGTGTGGTGGTATCACAATAATGTGTGCGTGATTTGCCCTTGCTTTCTCGACCAACGTTAGATTCTTTGTGTGGGTGGCATGCCCATCTAAGACTAGTAAAACAGGATCAGTCTCGGTAGGTTTGGAATATTTTAGAAAGTGTTCAAACCCAGCCTCTGAAAATATTTCACTTTGCATCCACCCTGATGGATGATATTCCACGATTGATTCTGGAGGAAGTCCTTGATCGAGTGGTGGACATTTCTAACTCTTGGAAAGATCAGGAGGGGAGGGATGTAAAATCCAGTGGCATTGAAACAAATTTTGGCAGTTGTTAGAGTGCTTCTTTCAGCGGAAGAAAGACTGCCCACTTGTTTTTTTCCTTTCATGGAGAATATTCTTGAGGGCCTATTTGGTACCGTAGAGATACCCGTCTCGTCGCAGTTGAAAATTCTACTGGCGGGGAATTAGTATTTTTGAAGCATTTCTCCCAATAGAGTAAAAAATGAATTAACGTTGTATTTATTATGACGAAGCCCTAGCTGCCGAGGTATATTCTGGAAGCCTCAAAGAAATATATTGGTTTCTTTTTAGAAATCCATACATCCAATCACGCCCTGCAAGTCCTTTAGCTGCGTTAAAGATGTGTGCAATATGGTTTTTGTCCGCAAACTGGAAGGCAAGGTGCCTTAACTCCCTCGTGCCAAGACCAAAAAGCCTAATTTCCATCTCTAAGATATAATCGGCCAGCTCCTTCTCGTGTTCTGCCGAAAAAACCGGTCTAAATCGACCTAACAATTTTCCAGATGCTGCATTGGGTTCGTTAATCGTCTCCGCAGTGTTGTTAAAGGAACGTGGTATTGTGCTGCTGCCTTTTTTGCGGAAAGTATCCCGTGTCTAACATACTGCCATACTTTCCTTTGACCAAGAGTGCTGCTGGCTCTTCCGTTTATAGTTACGCACCATTGCGCCAATTCTGTAAAAAAGGAAACTATTTTGATTATTTTTCTACTTTACTTACCTCTGGGCTTTACAAACCCGTAGCTTAATCAAGAATTTCTCTACTTTTATTCCCTACATCAAGTTCGTACAATGATTTCATGCTATGTGGTAAAGTGGCTACCGTGACCACTTTGCCCCGCAGTTGGAAAACCACTTTATCCCAACATACATCGAACATTTTATCAACAATAAAAAATATTACCTTTGTTTTTTATTCCACTTCTCGTACAGACAGGCTTACTAAATACGAAATTTTTCACTCACTATATAAAACCGCGTGCGTGCTTGAGAGCAGTTCCAACCCGACTGATTGATTGTACATCCAGAGGGGAACGGCTGTACATAGGAGCACTCATAGATGTCAGTAGCTTGTAGGAAATTTTGATGTAAGCCACTTTGCCCCCAGTGGCCACATTTCCCCAAACTACCCTATGTTAACTACTTATTTATTTATTTAGTTAATTACACCACCAACAGTTTATAAACCAATTACTGGTTCGGAAATACAGTACATGTATATAAAAATTACAAAATAAACTACATTGATTGCTTAGTAATTACCAATAAGAACGCATGAAAAGCTACCACTGATCATAGCTCAATCAAACTGTGGTAGCTCTGAAAAAACTACCGCTTTACATAGTCTCTTAATACTAGAAATGGATGTGTTGATGATATCAAAATAATTCATATAGTCATCATAACATGAGCATATCGAATATAGCGGTGAGTGCAGCAAGAGATTTGTTCGTGGGGTAGGTAGGTAAAAGGCAAGGTTGGCCCTTGTTCGTACTCTAGGTGTATTGAAATTTAGCAGAAAATGATGGACAGTCATGTTGGTAATTTATAACTTTGAACAAAAAGACTAAAGATTGTATCTTCCTTCTATCATCAAGGCTGAGAAACCTATGCTTTTGAAGTAAGTTATTTTGTGAAATCCCTATGGGAGGATAAACATCAGTTTTGAGAGATAAATCCTTCAAGAACTTTCTGTGAATTTTTTCCAATGAGTCACATGAGGTAACATAGCATGGGTTCCAGATTATCCTTCCGTATTCCAGCTTAGAAAGAACAAACGAATTGTATAGCACTGTAGGTGCTGTGGTACCGATAAACTCTCTTGAATTGCGTATAACGAATCCCAGTGCTTTGTTGGCAGAATTCACTAAATTAGTTAGGTGTGCACTGAAGCTTAATTTCCTGTCAAATATTACTCCTAGGTCCCTGAACTCCTCTAAAGTCTGAAGAGGAGTGTTGTTAATTTCATAACTATTGGTAATTGAATTTACTCTCCTAGTGAAAGTTAAAGATTTACATTTGCTCACGTAGATGGGAAGTTTATTAGCAGTACACCACTCAGACAGTCTGTCAAGATTCCTCGATCGTCAATTTGCCAGTACAGTTTTACGTCGTCCGCGTAGAGCAGAATATTGCAGTCATCGTATTAACTAAGTCATTAATAAAAATGACGAATAGTAGTGGAGCTAAGGAAGATCCTTGTGGGACGCCAGTAGATGGAAAAAAGTGAATTGATTTACCACCGTTGTAATCCACATATAGTTTGCGATCAGACAAATACGACTGAAATAATAATACCAAATTTTTAGATAAGCCAATGCTATTTAGTTTTCCCAGTAGTAAACCATGATCGACTCTATCAAACCCTTTACTGAAATCAGTATATAGCACATTTGATATATATCTAGTCTCTAAAATATTCACTAACACTAACTGAAGAAATTGTTTACACTCGATACATCTTGGCTAATGTGACTTAATACCAATACGTTAGTGCCACGTTTAGAAGCGTAAGATCATTTTTTGCAGTCAGCTTAGTTTGTAAAAAATCTAAGGAAAATACTCGTATTTTCCTAAAACAGGCTGTATGTTTGAAACGCCAATTGTGAATATGAGGATACGAGGACTGTAAATTAAGTGAAGAGACTGATTTTTTTTTTAATTTTTACTATTCGAATATAGGTAATTACAATTTTATACTGTCACCCTCAAAATAACTTCCTTCTGCAGCCTCGTAGTGCTGGATTCGGTTTTTGGAACTCCGATATTCGAATAGCCTGCAGAGGTCAGTTAAAATCGTTTGAATGTTTTCGAATGTCCCAAAAGTGAGCTTCCTTGAGGTGATTTTTCATTTTAGGGAAGAGAAAAAAGTCACAAGTCAGGCGAATAAGGAGGCTGAGGAGCCCCAATGATGTTTTCATTGCGCAAAAGCTCGTTTATTGACATTGCTGTGCTTGATGTGATGAACGGTGGTGCGAGTCAAACTCAACTCTTCCCCCATGATTTTGACTGTCAACCGCCAATCTGAACGCACAAGATCCTGCATTCTGTCGATATTTTCATCGGTTCTTGAAGAAAAAGACCTTCTCTCCCTTATGAAAATGCCTTAAATCACCGTAAAACCTAGGCTCTTGACAAAATACTATCTCCGTAGGCCTGCTGAAGTTTAGCAAGACTTTCCGTTGCACTGTGTCCAAGTCTGAGGCAAAACCTAGCACACCGTTCCTCGAAACTGATGTCATTCATTTTTAGAACACAACAGGAAAAGCTGTTTCACAACCAAATGACTCGAGCGACTTCAAACATGTACTGAAGGCGGATCACATGTTTCCCGTCTCCCTTCCAAGCTTGGCGCTTCCAGTGTTGCCAGTTTCATTACTTAATTTACAGACCTCGTATAATACCAATTAAAAGGAAATTCAATCATCTGAAAGCCTATATACAGGGTGACTTCGAAGTTGAGTCATTTATTTTAACAGTGAGTAGATCTGATCAAAAGAAATGTTTTTTCCTTTAACATTTTTCTGGTAAAATTAAAGTAACAAAGCTATAGCCCTTTAGAAGTTTGAGTACCGCCCTGTCTCAATAATAATATTATGTGTTTGGCAACAACGGATATCGGTTCATCGCATCGGAAACAAAAAAGCGAAAGAATTTGAAACGTTTATCACGTTGTTTTTCGTCAGTCGGTAACGCGTGGGTGAATAGTGATGTTTGTTGCGTGACTCAAACGAAATGAAAAATGGCACATGTTTACGAAAATGCTGAACTTGTGGACATGATTCTTATTTACGGGGGGCAGTCTTTACAAAATGCTGCCGGATGCATCACGGATTTATGCGAATCGGTTTCCCAATCGAGTGCAACCAACCCCTCGTGCCTTTGTTAATGTAGTACAAAGGGCTCGTGAATCAGGTGACTTAAGACCTCACAGGTGAGAGCATGCCGGTGCTCCAAGACCGCACGATCAAATACAGGTCCGCACTGAAATACTTGTCGGGAGGATACTTTATTAAACAGGGTAACATTTTTTTTTTATTTTTACCCACATATTTTGGTTTATCTTCCTTCTACAATCATTATCTGAAAATTAATGACTCAACGTCAAAGTCATATAAATACATAAGGGATTTAAAAAATGGGATTTCTCACAGAGTATTCCCAACTAACAAAGTAGTGGTATAAGCTTTTGGTAAAAGAACCGTTCAGCCATAAAAGCTCTCTATTGTTGTTGCCTGAGCACCAAAATGCTGGCTTAATGTTGTGTGGTATGCAAGTTAGCTTTCTGCAACATATTTGCTCTAAAATGAGGTGTTTAAAATATTCTTATAGCATAGTTAAACAACACCTTATAGGGCAAATTTTTAACTGTTGCATAAACGTTTATACAACTATTTTATACGGCATATTTGCAAGTTAGTCAAAATGTTTGTGTTGTGGCATCCATGGTAACGTTTATAAAACAAACCCGAGCCTTGTTGTTTTGCTGTGCAATTTACTACCTTAGCCAACAAATTGCTCCCAACGGAAGCACTTATACAACTGTTGTTTAGTAACTGTTAAAGGCTGTACATTTTATGCTAAATATGTTGGTAAACAACTTCACCATAACCTAACTTTCTGCTGTCATATTTTTGTTAAAATGCCATAACCAATGTTTTAAGACAAACAACGCATGCATATTGGTTCAAAAGGTTTTATCAACTGTTCAAACAGAAGATATAGATCTGGTACAAATTCTGGGTAAATTATTCGACTCTGTCGGTATTTTATTTCAGACATTTGTCAAATTGTTGTATAACACCTGCAGTCAACACCAAAATATTCTAATAACCTAAAGACAACATGGACGATGCCATGATTGTACACAACCACCCGCCATATTGGGCAAACATTTATTCCTCTATTTAATATTAAATAATTATGTTTCAATTCGAAATTACAGATATAAAGTGATAAACATTAGTGTAATTGTGTCTAAATATAGGATTTGTGGAAGATTTAACGCAGATAAGTTCAGTTTTCCATCTTAAAAATCTAGACATAGTTTTCATCATTGTCAAAATATGAATCAAATACGAAGCCCGTAAAAATTGGGTAACTAATTTGCACGATAATCACAACAAAATTTGCTGCGCAAGTAATTCAATAGCCCTATATCAAAGTGTAGAAGTTTATCATATACCTGTGTATGAAATTCACAATGGCCGATATGTAAGTAAACAAGATGACTGTAATGTGTTAGTTATATATTCTTCACTTCGTCTATACAATACATAAGAAATAGTTTGGTTTCAATAAAGTAGAATCATGTAACAGAATAGTTGTATAGTTGACAAAAACTGAATCTTGCACTGACGTAAATGTCCTATAGCGGCTGCAAGAGGCTTACACTTTTGTTTTATAACTGTTACCTGCAGCCCTTATACAACCTCTTAAATGACTGAAGTGTGCCCATTCCGCTTGTATAGCTGTTCTAAGAGGGTTTTGCCGATGTTCTTACAGTATACAATGCTGTTTAAGGAATACTGTATAATCATTCTTGCAACTCTAATAGGAGTGATAATTGTTAGTTGGGTTGTGAAGGTTCGACGTCAGTTTTAAGTACCCTGTATATTCGATGAACAGTAATATGGAAGAATAGAGTCGGGAAGGAGTATATGAAGTGATTTATGCCGATATCAGCCATTAAGGTTGCAACAAGCCATTTCACCAAAAATAAATAAAATACGATATATCGTAAAAATCCCGATAAAAACTTAGCAAAGTAAGCTAGTGCATGTAAAGATCAGATGCATTGCAAAATGAGAAACCTGAAAATAGTAAAACATGTAGGGGGTACTGTCCTAAATAAAGAAGCTTATGCTTACTTTGCAAAGGATGAACACATACGTATATATAAAAATATTTTTTTTTACTTTTATTAATTTATTATTTATTATTATCTACTACAAAATATTACTACAAAATATCAACAACAAAAAACAATAACAATAAAAACAACAATCTTCATCAAGGACACCCCGATGACAGAAAGATGCACCTAGATGTTTCAAACCTTCTGTATGTGCTTACATCATCCGGGCATACAAAAGAAAATCGAATTTATTGAATTATAAATAAACAAGAATCAACCCCAATATCCCAAACAATAAATCAGTCATACTATGATACAAAAAACCATCAGAAAAGCCTTTCAAATTGCGCAGCATTCTCAAAAATATATTCTCTGCAGATGGTGCTAAATATTTTAATATTTTTCATCTTTTTCAAGTGTTCTGGCAGAATGTTATAGTCCTATATCTTTGGTCCTATATACGTTATGTACCTTAAGTTTAAGTCATTATCGTTCTAGCGAATTTCTGTTTGCGTACCGTAGTTATGACTTACTTGTTTCTGTACTCGTAACTTTTCATTTCTATAAATAAAAGTAGATACTGTCATCACGTACAAGGTTCTAATATTACACACATCTTTTGTAAAAGGTGTGTTAGTGGGGAATCTTTCCTTAAAATAATTTTAATCATATATTTCTGAACAATAATGAGTTTCTGCAGTGTATTACGAGTATACAGGGTGGCCGATCCATGTGTGAACGGAGTATTACTCATAAACAATTACATTTCGGAAAAATCTATTTATGGGATATTATACTTGACATTTGTAGGCACATTTCTAAAATATTGGTCATTGTACAGGGTATCCCAATTTCGACCTACATATCAAAGCTGTGATTTTTCAAATGGAATGCCTCAAATTATATCACATATGTGGATAAACCAATTCAAAAGAAGAAAATTGTAACATACTATGGGGGTTTGGTAATTAGCTACTGAGATATAAGGTGTTTTGTCTAGAAAACCCTCCACTTCGGCAACCCCTCAGTCCGCCATTTTGAAATATGGTATGCTAAATTTTGTATCCAAAAAAACTTACACACCTCAGCTTTTATCTTAATTGTTACTTTTTTTGAAATTTAATTTTTGCTCATACAGGGTGGCCAAAAACGCAAATTGTAGTTTTTCTTAAAAATTTTAAGCGCATCACCCTGTATATTTGTGCAAGTTTAGACTCAATTTTTTATAAGCTTTTTTTTATACTATACACATAAGGGTTTTTACGGTTATTTTTTCGGTTATTAGCACGCCTTTTATGGAACGGCTTAATTCCCTAAAATATTGCATCACCCTCGGAAAATAAATTGTTGATTAATTACAAACTGTCAAAATTAGCTTTGTGAGCATTATATCTAATAAAAACGTGTTTGAAAATGAATTTTTCTAAAGAAGAAATGGTGAATATGGAGTAAGTTTTGGACGAAGCCCAAAGAATTAGTTTCCTAGCATCTCGCATTTATAAGCAATGGTACCCTAATACGAGTATGCGACATTCAATTCGGAAAACATTTTCCACACTGCGAGAACATTTTGAATCAAGTGGAGCAGTGGAGTATAGTAAACAATGTATAAATAATCCAAGTGTCACCAATGAGGCGAATCAGTTGGAGGTTCTATTAAAGTTGCAGGAAAATCCCCATTTAAGTGCATGGAAAATTGGAGCAGAAAATGATATATGCAGAACTTCTGTCCAAAGGATTATCCACAAGCATATGTACCATTCATATCACATATGCTTGCATCAAGGCCTTTGTCCTCAGGATTTCGAAGTTCGAATGGAGTTTAGTAGAATAATGCTAAATAAAGTGAGTGAAGACACTACTTTCCTGGATAAAGTTCTTTTTAACGATGAGGCAACTTTAAACAGAACAGGTATTGTCAACAGGCATAACATGCACTATTATGCGACGGAAAACCCTTACTGGGTTATCGGTCTTTTCTTTTTCGACAATAGATTAACAGGCACATAACACTTTTAACGAGCATTTGCCTTTGCTTTTGGAGGATGTCAACCTGCAAACTCGAATGCATATGTACTTCCAACATGACGGCGCACCTGCGCATTATCATAATTGTGTTTGTATTTGGACACCTGGAGTAACAATCGTTAGATCGGTCGTGGTGGGCCTATATCTTAGCCTCATAGATCACCAGATATGACACCGATGGACTTCTTTCTATGGGACTACGTTAAGGAGGAGGTTTATAAATATCCACCATCTACCCCGGAAAATATAAAGAAAAGGATTAAGGATACTTTTCTGAACATAATATGCTGAGGGATGTGCAACGGTCATCTATCCAAAGACTACGGCTGTGTATCCAACATGGTGGAGATATTTTTGAGCAGTTTTTGTAGATTAGGTCTTGAGTAGTGATAGTAGTTTGTTTATGTTTTTGTTATAGTTGTTTTTCCGATTGTTATTAGTTTTTACGTCAAATCTGTACTCTTAGTGGCAATATGGAACTAGCCCACTGTCTGTCTTTTGTTTCCATGGATGATGTGTCTTTTTCCTTAATTTTGGTGTGTTGTTCTATTAAAAGCTTAATAACTCAAAATCTAGTGATTTTATCTGAATCAAACCTTATTCCAAAAAAAGATTATAAAAAACTGAATCCAAACTTGCACAAATATACAGGGTATTTGTAATTTTTGACACACTTAAAAAATCACAACTTTGATATGTAGGTCAAAATTGGGACACCCTGTATAATTGCAAATATTTTAGAAATGCACTCTCAAATGTCATGTATAACTTGCCATAAAAAGATTTTCTAAAAGTGTATTTGTTTATGAGTAATATTCCGTCCACACATGGATGGGCCACCCTGTACAGTCCCCCCTTCCTAATATTCCTTATCTAATTATAGATTCAGCAAATGCTTTATAAACTGTTATTAAATTTTTTTATCGAGAAACTCTCGCAGTAGATGAAATTTATGGATTATTTGTCAATTGATAATATAATATAACTTTGATTCGAGCTTCTGTATTCAAAATTTATTTGCAAACCCTTGGTTTCTGAGATAAGAGAATGTGGACAGGGAGAGTCAAACTTAGGACCGTATTTGGAACTTTTGTTGTATGGACAGCGACTTTAAAATAAAATTTCTTATTTGATTATTACTGCAGTCATACTACATTTATGCTACTGATACCTTATAGGCGGAAGTAAGTATTGTCAAGTACATTGGAAGATGTAAGGAATATCCTAACACACCTGCTGAGGTGATCGATGTGAAAATAGAGAGAACCAAGAGAGAAACGTTTTTATCACATGCATGGCTCGTGAAAAGACCTATAGATCGTTTTGCTAAGGTAGGATAATGTAAACATTTGAATATTCTTTTTGCTGAATATCAACAGTTTCATGTCTAATAATTTAGAAGTCGATTTTATATGCATAGTTTGCAGTTATAGCCATTATAGTATTTTCATCCATTGAGGACAAGCGACGCGGAGAAATTACGGTGAAATTTGTCATTTGCACGTGTCAAACATGATACGTCGCTACCCTTCAGCTAGCATCCCTCCCGTATGCGGTATGTCATTTGATTGTGTCACGAGATTTAGCAGGAGGCTTAATTCTTTGTTTCCATTCGCTTTCCTTCCCCTCCATGAGCGCGCACCTTATGTAACGCTTCCTTTACGCAAAAAGTCCAGAAAAGATGGAATGCAATGAAGATTCCAACTTTTCTGCACAGTCACAGAAAGGGGGTTAGCATTAGCTTCCGGTAGCTCAGTCGGTGGCATGAAGACATCTACAGGCGTGTAGCTGTGTGTCGACCATGGCATGGCTAGAGGATAGAAGAACAAACAGAACACAAAAATTTAACAGATTTTATTTAACCAAAAGCATTTTCATTTCATTACAATTTTAAAGAACAAAATAAGTTTTAAATCTTTGGCGCTGCTATAAAACTTATCTTTCGCTGGTCCATTTTTGACTGGACTGAAGCGAGGATGGCCAGGTGCTTGAAGTGGAGGTCCCAGTTATGAGGGGTGGCCTCACATTTAGTGGCTTCAGAACTAGATGTAGGCGAAGTTGAACTTAAAGGTGATGGCGCTGCCAAGGCACATGCATGGGTGATGTGATAGGCCAAGCAATGCAAAGTCAAAGACAAAGGCAAAAGCAAAGTCAAAGACAAATCTGGAAAAGAACCGTGTGCATTAGCAACGTGCCCTAATGGCCAAGGCATTTCCAATCTCAGTCTGCCTCAAAAGAGAACCAACGATTTTCTAGGTTAGAATTACATTACATAGTTTGATAAAATCAAACCGAAAATTGGAAATGCCTTCATAAAATAAAATCATGAAATAGCAAAAAAAAAGCGTAAAACAAGATGGTGGTCATCAAAAATTTCTCCACATGTTTTGATATAAAAACACAAATATCGAATATTCATAATCAACGTACTCATAATTTCACTGAACTATGATGAATATATATACGCACACAGAGGTAAAATCGATATGGATCGATTTCTACCTCGATTTGATTAAAGTTATGGCGAATGATCGAAGTAGTCGAAAATGACGTTCGATGGATATTCTAAAATCGTACAAGAAATAAACCACTTAAATATCGATTATCTATAAACTACAGGCAGATCCAGCAATAAAACTCACCATTTTTTTCCTATTCGGACACACATTCTACAAAATTCTAGCACATGGTGCTATATGACCTCATGCTACAGAGAACAAAATTCTTAGCTCTTGCTAGATCGGCGGCTCAAGTGAAAAGGAAGCGCGAGGAAGATCGCAGATCAGGAACTCCGCATCAAGCGCTCCAAGCGGAAAATTTTCCAATCAAAAAGCTAGAGATGGGATTAATGATTTGCGATTCTGAAATGATAATCGAGAAGTGATTTAATAAATACGATCGGACGGTGAAACCGTTACAACCTTCAGGCTTTTTAAATTACACAGGATCGAAAAATGATTTAAAAAAATCTCTGAATCATAAAATTGGCTAACAGTGATGCTTCAACATTCTTGAATAATGTAGGAATATTCAAATCTAATATTTTCAAATTTCTCAAGCATTGTAAATTTTTAAGTATGTTTTGTATGATCGTTTATTTACAGATGGTAATAATGGCTACAAAATGCGCTAGTAGGGATGGAGGTGACTATTGTGAAGGTTCCAGGAATTTTACCCTGAATAACTTTGATGCCATGTTAAAGAATCCTGCCTCACCTTGGGCAAATATGTTTGAATACAACCCTCCTCTACGTTTTCCTCTCAAGCCGGCAAGTGCTGAAATATTTTTTAAACGTTTTGAGTTGGCGCGCTTTCCGGAATTGCATAGTTATCAGCGTTCAAAGTATTGGTGGTCTGAGAGCTCAAATATTAAAGTCATTGAGACAAAAGTTATGGCTGTAGTTGTTGCCATACTGAGTAACAACTAAAATCTATTTATCTACTGTTCACCACGAGAGCTTGAAATAAAATCCATTATTTCAAATTGCAATATATGTTGTAGGGTAAGTACATATCCAAGAAACAAAGACTTGACAATTCCATAGCAGTAATTTCGCTATCAGGATACTGGAAAATGACAATAGTGGGATTCACGGCCGTCGGCCAACCATTGATATGCCTTCAAGTCGAGGGAGCGATATCTTGAAATATTGGTGTATTCTGTGTTTTATGAGTCCGTTATTATACACACTGTTGTAGCAATAAAATTATAGAATCGGAATTAATTTCATCTGTCATTATTTCACAACTGGCTTACTCAAAGGGGGTGGCTTTGAGGCTCAACCCTCCCCCCAGAACCACATAGACAGCAGGCAGCTTTTGTGGCATGTGAAGTGAATTCCCCTCCACTAATATCTGTTCGAACCCCCCACCCTAGAGAGAGCATGAATCCTTAATTCAGTAAGAAATTTTTCTGTGCTAGTAACCATACGGTAAATAACGTGACAACTGTTGAAGTTATAGTATTCGTCAACTAATAAATAATAATAATAATAATAATAATAATAATAATAATGCCAGGAACATGGCAAAAGCAGTTAACACCTATGCCACATCTGCAGTTTCTTATAGCTTTGGAGTGATTCACTGGACAGCAACAGAACTCAAAAACCTCAATATCAAAACCAGAAAAGAGTTCAGCAAATTTCGAGCACATCATCCACGTTCATCATTGGAAAGGTTCCATTTGCCTAGAAAGTTGGGTGGAAGAGGTATACCTGATCTAGTTATTAACCACAACAGGCAAGTAACAAACCTTAGGAACTACTTCCTCGCCAGGGCTGCGTCCAGTGAGATTCACCACGCTATCATAAGGGCGGAAAATAAGGCTACTCCTTTAAGACTGGCAGACCAAAACTTCAGCCTTAGCGTGGACCAGCTCATACCCGAGCAACAACTGCAACAATGGAAGAGTAAGGCACTTCATGGTAAATACCGCACCCTACTCGAGAGCGATAAGATCGATACCTTCGCATCCACGGCCTACCTCCGCTCTGGAAATCTGTTTGCTGAGACAGAAGGGTTCATATCTGCTATCCAAGATCAGGTCATCGCAACTAAAGTATATAAAAGGAACATAATGCTGGAACGACAAGACAATATCAGATGTGTGTGCGGTGAAAAGGATGAATACCTGGACCACATCATCGCTGGCTGCTCAATGTTGGCACCGAAATCCTACCTAGACAGGCACAACAGAGTCGGAAAGATAATCCACCAAAGCCTTCGTGAAAAGTACATGGGATTGACAGAAATAGTGCCGTACTATTTATACGAGCCGCCTGCTGTGTGCGAAGATGAACAAACCCGGCTCTACTGGAATCGAAAAATTATAACTGATAGACCGATAAGTAATAATATACCGGATATCGTGCTCACTCTAAAAAATGAAAACAAAACATACATAGTAGATTTCGCTGTGCCATTGAGAGCCAACCTAGAAAAGACACATGGAGAAAAAATCAATAAATACCTACCCCTGAGCGATGAAATCCGCCAAATGTGGGACATGGAAACAGTAGTCATCATCCCCATTGTGATCGGAGCAACTGGAGAAATACCTAAAAAATTAAAACATCACTGCAACAACTAGGATTACCGTTTGAATTATACTTACCCATGCAAAAGTCGGTCGTATTGGACACGTGCAGTGTAGTCCGTAGAGTTTTAGGCGGCAACTAGAACAAGATGTTTTTAACATCAGCCGTCTTGTTTCAAAACCGATGTGCCAGCGTTCTTAACCCAGGGAAGCCTATGAATCAGTTAGATGATTAGTGAATAATAATAATAATAATCCGGCTTTATTTATACAAAGTATAAAAAGGCGAAGTGTCGCTAAAAAGCGTTTTTCAACTTAACCCAACAAATATTTGTGTAAATTTTCTAATCCAATGAAAACAAAAAGTTAAAAAAAAAACTTGTAACGAGTCCCTATTCATGGCCATGATCTACTTACTGGGCAATGAAATTAGAGATAAAATGCTTCAATCTTTTTTTGAAATTCTTTATAGAGTAGTGAGTGAACTCGGTAGGCAACGCGTTTTATAGCTTGATAGCAGTATATACGTACGACCTTTTAAATAGAGATGTTGAATGTCTCTGGATAACCAAGATATGCTTATTCTTTGTTTTCAGTTGATTAACATCTGAGTATCTGATAAATTTGGTTGATAGATATGGAGGGGCTTGTGTTGTGATTACCTTATGGGTCAAAGTCCATACGTGCATTTTCTGTATTTTTTGAACACCCAACTCACGATATTTATGTGACACTGTCTCAAATTTTCTCACACCACAAGCACTGACTATACTATAAATTTAAACATCTAATTACACTTACTACATTAACTAAGTTGTAATTCTGGGATATATCTTTTTTATATATGCCTATTTAGTACAATCTGTGCTATACGCTAAATAAATAACTTGTTGAAAAGACATATTAAGTATTTGTATGTAGATACTCTTTCCACGTTATCAAGATACGAAAATACGATGGTTTGACGTAAAAATTGCAGTTAAAAATTACAAAATGGTGGCTGAGCGCCATCTTGGACATTTGTGAAATTGTTTAAGGATCGTGTAATACCTCATTTCGAAGCTCCATATCATCAGTTTTAAATTCTAAAATATAATTTAATTCTCTTTATTATCTCAAAATAGCGCACTAGTCAAACTTGAACGGCTTTGTACACTTGTTATACTGATTCTCTTATTTTGAACACAGGTCCCTCTGACTGTGCAAGATATGAAACATTCAGTTTAAGGAAATTGACATTTTTGGACAATTTTTCAAATGGAACGTCCCAATCCTATCACGTGTCTGCGTAGAGCCTTGGAA